AATGTAATATAATATAATATAATAGTTGTATATAATAGTTGTCAGGACAGAGAAGGAAGGAAGGGTGTACCATTTAGAGGAGAGAGTTCACACAGCCCATTTGATAAACCCGTAGGGCTAGGGTTTCCGCTGTATGGAGGGTAAATGGTGGAGCTAGTGTATAATCCAAATAAACATTTGCTGTTGAGTTTATTCCAGCTCATAGAGACCCCATAGGTCAGAGTAGAACTACCCCATAGATTTCCAAGATCTTTCCAGAAGCAGACTGCCGCATCTTTCTCTTGCAGAATGGGTGGTGGGTTTGAACTGCCAATCTTTTGGTTAGCAGCCACACTTTTAACCACGGTATCACCAGGGCTCCATGAGGCCAGTGTATAGAAAAGGCCAAATCATGAGGGCCTTGTAATGGTATCTTGTAGGTGCTGGTATCTTGTAGGTGCTGGTGATTTGCTGAAGAATTTTGTATAGGGGATTGTTGTGCTTAATTTGCATTTTAGAAAAATTAGTCTGGTAGCAAGTCAAAGGTTTAAGTCTGTAGCTGCTTTAAATAATCCAGGGTAGCTGTGAGGAGGGTGTTATTTTCCCAAGGCCAGGGATTTTGGTAATTTGGGGGAGGGCACAGATTCCAGAGCTAGTTAGATGTCAGAAAGCAAAAAGGAGAAAAAAGAAACTGGCTTTTATTTTCTATCTACAAAGCCTCAGTGCCCTAAAACATGTATTGTGTAAGACGGACGGATTAATGTCTCCTGTGCATATAGGACATTACTAGTTATGTCTTTTATTTTGGAGAACTGAGAAAATAAAGCACTCAAATCACTTTCTGGAAGCCTTCATTGTTTTGTGGAACCCTCTTTTGAGAAAGACTGGATACTTTCACGACAGCTACACAGGGTGGATGGTGTTAGCCTGTGGTTAGAGAGGAGGAAAGTAAAAGCTGGTTTGCCCAGGGCCACGGCCGTGGACTAGAAGTCTGTCCCATAGGTTCCACACCTTTCTTACCTCTCGGTAGTGGGTGTGTGTGAGCATTTAGCACTGTGCCTGACACACAGGATATCGACTGAGTGCCGCTCTCTTTTCTCCTCTACTTTCTTCAAACTACCATTGGGAACATAGCCAGTATTGGTTAGCTGAGAGGAAGTACCAATGATTCAGTTCAAAGCTGTTTTAAAATAGCCATCGTATATATTTTCACTTGTTCTTGAAATCAGAATAAAAAGAAAAAGGCAAAAGTAAAACCAAAGAAAGTCCAACAAGGCGAGGAGGAGGAAGAAGAATCCAGTGGTGAAGTGGAAACAGCTCCAGCCCCTGGCAGAGTGGCCATGCATATGGGGAGCACTCCGTGTCCCTCCTCCCTGGGAGCCCAGAGTTTGCCAGTAGATGGAAGTGGAGCTTCAGGAAAAGACCACGTCTCCTTGCTCTTCAGTTCTTCCCCTTGGAAAAGAGTCAGCAGTAGTGAATCAGACTACTCGGATGCTGAAGGAGGCCTGCAGAGTAAAATGAGGTAGTAGTCTCTTGTAGGATTGTATATACTAAGTTACCTGTGTATAAGTATGTGGTTTTAATCTGCCACGTATGATCTGGACGATTCAGAGTCACTGATGGGGACTTCACATAACTCTGAAAATGCCTTCCTCCCTCGAGCTACCTTTGTACATGTTTCTCTGCCTAAAATAGGGGTTTGTTGGTGTTTTTTTCCTTGTTAATCGCTATTTATCTTCAATATGAGCTCAGGGATCTTCTCTGAGAAGCCTTTTTGACCTCCCCCTGTCCCACACATATAACGTAGCGTTGGTGGTAATGTGTTACAGTTCTCTCTTTAACTGTCCTTTTCTGTCATTAATCAGCTTGTCATGGTCAGGGGCTTTGTTTATGTCTGGCACCTATGTAAAGGCACGCCATACCTATATGTTGAATGGGTGAGTGAACAGATGGATATTCCGCAGTGTCTCATATCTAACACTGGTCGCTTAACCCCAAGATGTTGCCCTTTTACCATCTAACGTGGTTTTTGATTGCTGACTTTGTTTGTTATGTAAGAAATTGCTTTAATGTATTATTTCTCAATATACCATTTGAATTGTCTAGAATAAATAGTTTGTATGGAAATTTCATGTTCACGTATTTTTAACCTATTTTATTCAAAACTTGTTTCCTTCCTTTTCCTTATGTATTAAAGGTCATACCAAGCCAAAGTTCGCCAAGGAGCATTAGCTTGTTTTCTTTCTACTATAAAATCAATAGAAAAAAAAGTTCTTTACGGCTACTGGTCTGCCTTTGTTCCTGACACACCTGAGCTTGGAAGCCCACAATCCGTGTCCTTAATGACTCTTACATTAAAAGATCCATCTCCAAAGGTAAGAACTTTAAGCCCTGATAATTCTTGCTGCTGTTGTTGTTGTTAAGTGCCATCGAGTCGATTCC